CAAATCTTTTATCATTGTTTTAAAAAGCTTCCGATTATTTTATTCCTTTTAAATGCAATTATTTCTTATCAATTAAATTTTTTCTTTTGCTGCTTTTGCAATTATCTCTCATATTCAGAACATTTTGGGTATGATTTTACAATTTATAGAAACCTACTATATTTAATCTTTCGGAGTCGACCGTGACGGTGCTACACGTGGTCTCAAGGCCTCTTACATGTATACGGGACCCTTATGGTGCGCGCCGTCGCGTCGTAATATTTATCGAACGTATACATCAGTTTTAGGCGCCCTCGGCCCTGGGCGCCACGAAGGTCGCCACGTAATCGCTCGATGAGGAGCGAGAGAGTGTGAGGATTGGGAGAGCAGAGTAGAGAATTTATATTACGTTGCCGTGCTAACGCAATAATTTATGTAATTGAAAATTCAAATTCCTTCGAAACGACCTCTTTCAATAATACATCGAATTTATCGTAACTCTAATTGTAAATTGTTAATAACGTTAGACCATCACTGCAACATAGTAGATTAAGTGATTCGTCCCTCATAGAATTTTAATAATCAAAACGATATCTTTCTGCACGGTATCTGATATACGATACAAACTGATATCAAGTATAACTTCACGAAGTATAACGCTCTTGATTATTATTCAGTTAAAAAAAGTTTTTCAATTTATCAAACTTGCCAGTAATAAATTCAGCTACAAAATTTAAAGTAATCCTAGAAACTTCCTGAATTAACTGTTGAGATGAAAAAAGATGAATATACACCAATTTATTATAACTATATTAACTATATTAAAGAAACAAATAAATTAATAGATAAGAATAATCTTAATGGCTACAAGGAGTCAAACGCTGTTAACACGGAATTTTGTATCTAAGATATTTGTATATTAATTGCGCACCGTTAATTAACAGCGTTTGACTCCTTGTAGCCATTTAAGATTATTCTTATCTATTAATTGTTTTATATTTTGTTTTGAAGGAGTTTAATTCATTTTTTATTTTTTATTTATATTAAAAAACATAAGAATGTTCTGCGTTTGAGCCAACCGCAAACATCGCAGGCAAACCGAGAAGGAGAATCGCTCGAGGGCCGAAAGTCGGCCTAGGCTGAAAATACTTGTATAAAATATAGTTCGTGTCTCGAGCACGAAAATCATACGAGTGACGCGAGTGAGAGTTCCGTGAGTTCTTATCATGCGAATCTGAAGGAACTTATACATCCGAATATAACCAAGATAAACTTGGAGATGATAATAACTTTTTAAAATATAAAAAACGTTCTTTTTTATTATATTGTTATTTTTTAACTCTATGTATGTTATTTGGTTAATATCCCAAATTATAATAAAAATATAAATAATAGTTATAAAGAAAAATATTAAATATGGAATTGGCAACTCCATACGCATAAACTACTGTAAACATTGGCTATTGTTGAGAATGACTACAAAAATGTACTATTTAGCATTTAATTGAAGAAATTACAACCTGTAGCTATCTTTCCTGTATCTATCTTAGTACAACTATTATAATATCCAATTTTATGCTATACTTTTTGATAAAGAAAAAAGGACCTACTTATATAAAATTTACTTTACTTTTGTAGTAAATGAACGATTATCGTATATTGTAAGGTAATTTTTACATTTTGTAAAGTAAATTTTGAGAGTTATCTTTATATTCTTGGGGGAATATATAATATAATAGTATATAATTTACGTACTTTATTGCAAGATGTAAGATAATCAATTGAACTAATTTACTATATAATTATAATTTACTTTTTATCTTACACCTGCGATATTTTTACTTTCAGATAAGTAGAGTTTGTAATAAGTGCGCGGTAAAAATAGCTAAAGTACTTTTATTAGTCTTGTAAGGTAAAAATTACTCAACCGTTCTCCTCCGTGAAATCACATTACAATTTTCTTCATTATAATATGTTGATTACAATTTAACTGTATTTATTTGATGTTGTAGCAGCTTTTAGTGGAAACTTTGCAAGTAGCCTAAAATAAAAATATTACAGAATATTATATTTACAATATTGTTATTTCAAATAGTGTATACGCATAAACTACTGTAAATATTGGTTATTGTTGAAAATTATATTGAGAAAAGTGTACTATTCAGCATTTAATTGAAGAAATTACAGCCCATAGCTATCTTTCCATATAGCTATTATAATACCCGATTTTATGCTATACTTTTTGACAAAGAAAAAAGTTACACACATCTAAATCTACTAGAATCGTTTTTGTTTTTTTTTCAATAAATAATAAAGATGCTGCTTCAACTTAGGCTTTCTCGCAGAATTTTGCCAGGTAGGAGAATAGAATAATCCTGTAGCATTTTTCGTAGTTTTTTTTCAAAATTTTCTTTTGGCTCTTTTGTCTAAACCTTATAACAGAATTTATCTACGAGTGATTTTATTAAAATCATTCAAGAAAGAATAGTATACATACTCGCGTGTATGTATATGTACTTCTTCTCTATATACTATACATTTTAATTACGATTACAGAGTGAAACAATACTCGTATATGCTGATCTATAGTCTAGATCTGTATGCGTGATGGTCGAAGCTGGATCACAGTGCTTATTATAATTGCGTGAATTTTATACTTACACAATATATAAAATTCACACAATTATAATAAGCACTGTGATCCAGCTTCGACCGTAAATGGCTTTCTTCTTCTAGTTTATTATTGTTTATCAATTGTACGGTCTTAGAAATATTCTAGTATTTGTATGCGTGATTTTTTTGTGAAAAATTTTATAAAACTATCAGAATATAATTATGTAGGACGCTCAAGAACATATAAAATTATTTACAGTACTGCTCATTAATGCTTCCTATACATAATTATTTAAAAAAGAGTCTTATTAGCAAAATTAATTTCAAGTCTGTACGTATAAATAAATTTTTAAATATTGCAGCAAATTCTTTCCGTGTTTTTACTAATTATTTACTTACAATGTCAACGAAAAATAAATTCACATTTCCAAGAGATAAAACGTTGGAACGTATTATCAACGTAAATCACAAATCGCTTTGTGACGTGCCGAACGTAATGCTCACGTCGCTCACGATCATAATATATGCGATTACAGACTGACACGAAAGTTCATTTTCACAAGCGAGCCTCGTCGCGGCCGTTTGCTTTTCGCTCGACCTTAAAGTAAAATGGTCCAACCGTTCGATCGCTTCGCCTCGCCTCGCCCCGTCGCATCGCGTCCGTCGTCTGTATCTCTAAATCGCCGTGGTCGGCCTCCTTTTGCTATTCTGCAGCATGCTTTCAAACGCGTGTCCCACGCACGCGAGCGGCACGCGGCGCGTCTCACGTGGGCGAAGCACCGTCGCTTTTAACTGTCACGGCCGCTCGCAACTTAAACTTTTGCCTGAGAATACGAATCCTAGACTCTATTGGCCGGCAGCTGTGATTCTTTCACGTGTGAAGCATTCGATAAAACACGTCGATTCTTTAGCGTTTAATTACTCCGATTTATGATTTGTACAAATCATTATAACGAGTTATATTTATTATATATGTTTTATGCTGATAATAAATATAGCCTTATATTTCATGTTAATATATATATAAGATAAGCATAGATTTATGCTAAGATAAGCCTGTTTTTAAATATCTGCCATTGTGGATCTTTATAAAACATGGATGTACAGCGGGTTCAATAATGAGATTATTCAGTATAACAAGTGGACAAGTAGAATGGACTAAACTACTTAAAAGTCGAAAAGTCTTGTACCATTTTGCAATTATTGCAATAATTAATGAGATAATAATTTCCAAAGATCGGCGAATACGTGAATAAAATCGACGCAAAAGACAACTTTAAGATATTTTTCCAGAGTTCTTTATGAATTATCCAAAAGATTTTTCTTAAAAAAACTCTCAAAAATATTGAAGTTGTTTTATGCGTCGATTTTAAATCCTGCTCATTGGGCAACTAAAAAAAATTGCGAAAACTGCAAAATGATGGAGGACTTTCGACTTACAATCAATTTAGTTCGTTTACCCGTCAACGAGAAATTATGCGATCATTACTGGACACTCTGTGTATGGGATATATAGTAGTAGCATAGTTAATTATATTATTATAGAAACTTTATATATATACATATATATAACCTTTTTTGTTTCATTACGATGCGCATGCGTCGAATGTTTATATTCCAGAAAGAACGATTTGGCTAAAGTATTGTAGTAAAAAGAAATCCATTATTTTTGCATGAAATCTATTGGAAAAATAATGGATTTCTTTTTACTACACCTAATATTTACAATTTGTGTATACCACCAAAATAATTATTACGTATAGGAAATTCAAAACATGATAAGCAATGCTGCAAGAAAATTTAACAATCTAGCATTCTAAATAATATTATTTTGACGGTCCAACAAAATTATTTTCAATTCTGTAATATCTAGATAAATTTTTAGATACTTCAGCAAAACCGTTCTTTCGTCTAAGACTGAATAATCAATATTACTAAGGAGAGTCGTATCCGTTCGTTAATTTTAATGAAACAAGTTAATTTCCTAATTTAAAATCAATTTTTTTATCAAAAAATACCACGTTCCAAAATATAAAATTTCCAAAGTATATCTATAATAATATCAAATCAAATCACATTTTTGTCAAGAATAAAAACTGAAATTTAGAGTTCACTTTTTGATTGCTATAATTATCGATACAATACAACGCGTAATTTCTTCAGAACGTTACTTATCTAGCTCTCTGTTTTTACGACATTACAATCCAACGCGCGCGCTCCAAATTAAAATCCTATTACAGCAAAGTTCTAAATCTAAAATTAGAATCCGCAATCTCTTCGTAGGTCACGAACGAAAAAAAACTCTTTTTTAATCACACGTAATTTAACAATTATCTGGACATTTTTCTTAATCGACGACAGAAGCTCGCCATTTCGGATGAAATGGTTAAAAAAAAGAATCCCCTTACCTGTCGTGTTCCGTGTCCTGCTATGCGCAGGGGAAGAAGGAAGTGCAGCACTAACGTCTGTGCGCGCGGGGCCCGACACCTGACTCCTTCCGCACTCACTGTACCCACTGCGGCAACGTTCCCTTCCTCGCACCGCGGGTCTTCCCACCCTCGCGACGATTTTTTTCTTCCGATGCGCGAGCCGACGCCGATCCACTGCGATTATTTATCCGAGTTGCGACAGTCCACGCGACTTGCATCACTCGCGTGCACGATGCACGCACGCGGTCACGCATCCACTCGCAGCACACACGCACGCACGCACGCACGCACGTTCTCCTATCTCTCTTTCCTAAACGTTTCTTTTTATTTATTATTTCTTTATTTTCTCCTTTTATATTATTTTTCTTTCTTTTTGTACACTTTCTATCTATACTTGTTCTTAGATGGCTTGTCCCGAAACAGGATCGTACATCTATATATCTATCTGTTTTTTTTATCGCCCTCTCTGTGGAGAGATTTTTCCGGAAAAAAAAGCACTGACACTAATTATGGCTTTCGATCCTCAAAAAATTGTAAATCGGTAAAATTCCGTGTCTTTTAAATCGCTCCGACGAATAGTATCACGTGGTTATAACAGCACATGGTGCATCATCCAATGCAACGATTGTCTGACAAAGATCAGTTCCTTAAATTGAAATCACCGACGATAAACTAACAATTCAGTTTAATTATAGTTCACACTCTTATACGTCCCTTCTAAAAGATACGGCAAATCCAAATCGACTTCCTTCTAATCCTATACGTAAGCGAGTTTCACGTATATCTTTGAAATGCAACGCTATACTTTTACCATATGATCGGCACGGAAAATGCTATTCGAACTTACACGTGTCCCCGGTTAAACTTGGAGATAACACATTCACCGACAGTTCCTCTTTCTCTTCCTTCACTTCTCACGCCGCTCTCGCGCGCGAAGCGCGTAAATAAGCGAGACCTCTCCCTTTCTTATCTCTATCGCGCACTTCTTTCTTCCGATTCTTCCTCAAACGATGCAAAAGAATACGATTGTAGTACCGCGTGTCACGAAGCCCGCACCAGAGAGAGAGAGAGAGAGAAGACTCGCTGCTCGGTCCAGAGAGCGCGCGCGCGGAACACTGAGCTCGGTTTACCTAGTCTAGTCTGGTCTAGCTTAGCCTAGCCTAGCCTAGCCGCCACTAAACTCCACTATCCTAGGTTAGACACTCTCCCTCTCTCTTCCTCTCACCCGCGTCCGCCCGCTCCTCCCGCAGCAGCATAGCGCGTTCTCTCTCTCTCGGTGTCCCTCGCCTATCACGTTTCGCGCGACGAATACGCCGCGCGCGCGATTCCGAGGGGCGGGAGAGAATGGAGAGAGGCGAGGAGGAAGGAGAGAATCGTAAGGCCATAGCCACGGCCATCGAGTCGCATATGCACGCACGCGACGGGTGTGGGTGTATGCGCGCGACGCGGCCAGCGGACGCGCGAGCGAGTGGCGACCGTTTGATTCCGCGCATCGAAAATCACATACAACCTGCGCGTTTCTCTTGCCATCTAATTACTTAACGCCTTCGTTATTCCAATGAAATGCGTATACTCACTCACGACTGCCTCGGCTCTGTCAAGGCTGCGGCCAAATCTTCATTGTTCTTAGCTACAATGCTGTTAGTAACAGCGAATAATTATAATTATCTATAGTTCTACACACAAATCGGAAGGTATAGAAATGTAACTCCGACTAACATTTGACGCCAAATATATTTTTTATGTATAATAAAATTATGAATATAATTATTATTAGTAACACATAGCAAATACAAAAAAATATCATTCTACTGCTGAGAAAAGAGATTATTCACTTAATTTTGTTCTTTTAAGTAACGATTATCTTTAAAAGAAATTTGATAACAGTCTTAAAATACATTTAGTATAAAGTTTATTAAAGAGCATTATCGAAGAACTTTATACATATAATAAAAGCGAATCTTTTCTTTTAATAACCTTGACTGAATGAAGTGTTACACTTGATGTGATGTGTGTGATGAACTTGTAATAGATTTGAAAATATATGCAAACTTTTGAAATACTTAAAACAAGTAATACATTTGAATACAATATATAATATTTTTCTTGTGTGCAGTGTGTAATGACTATAAAAATAGAACTCCCAACTATAATTATTTTATCATGCAATTATATAGTAACAAACAGTTAACCTTCATTATACCGACATGTTTACCTACGTAAGTATATACTTCGAAAATCAAAAATATGTAAGAAGCAACGATCGTTCGTCAAAGAAAAAAATCGCCCCGAAAATCGAATTGCAACGATTATTCAGTTATTACGCAAAAGTTCCGAGATACCAAGTAGTATAATCACTCAGCCTTATTGCGATAATTTCACGATTAAGTCATGATAATCTTGCAATTAGTCACATTTTGACTTGGTAGTATTATTTTGATCGGAGCTGACAGGTTCAACTTTCGATGACGCGTGCCAATTCCAAAAGCGTGCCAGAGAAACACGCAAAGCACGTGTATGCCCACGTTTTCGTGTACCCGAACGCGGGGGGTGCTTCGCGATATGTGAAATACGTTTTATATTCCGACAACAGCTAGATAACGCGCGCATGTAATAATACACGTGTATAATAACGCACTTGCATGATGTGGCGCACAACACATGTATAATAACTTCGTGCCTGATATGTGTTTTCGCCATCTAAACCGTCGTCTTTTCTTTATGACGACAACTTTCGATTCGATCACGATTCACGTTTGTGCACGGACCATTCGTTTCGAAAGTACCGTAAATCAGATTCTGAGACACGAGCCGTTCTCATCAGATTAAAATCGAGAAGCACTCTATAGTTCCAGATAACGCGCCAAGAAATAATCTTAAAATCCAATCTCGAATTATAATAAATATATACCATATGTATTAACATTTAATCCATTTCTATAGTTGAATTGTTTAGTTTCAAAATAACGTAAATAACGTCCATATTAATGTATAGGCACTTGGTAAATAATAAACTAAATTTGAATAAAATTTCATACATTTTTTCAGTTAAATCAAAGTTGAAGTTAACGATATATTGAGTGAGAACTGCGATCCAGTAATCTGAGTGAGAGTGACGATCTAGAAATGACTAAAAATTACTCAAATTGGATATAATTTAATAATTTATATCTTGACACAAGAGATAAGAAAAGAGACTCTGGCAAATATAAAGAGCATTTATTCGATAATAATAAGTTAATTTGAATTTATTTTTGCATTTATTTTGTTCGTCACTGGTAGAATTTACTGCTGTATAGTGAAAAGCATTAAAAAAAGATTTCGCACACTCTACATTTGCAGTCTTTGCAATGAATCAAATAATGTTCTATTGCAAAAACTACTTGTCGGACGCAATTTTGTTAAAAGAAAATCTTTTTTGTTTTAGCATAAAGTATTACGTCTAGTATGCGGGAATTTTGAATCACCCTGTATAATATGTTTGCCTTTCAAAGAAAAAGAGAAGGTGAGATTTACCTATATAAATTGTCGACAAATTTTCGTACTTTACGAATTAAAACTCTAAAATATTTAATTTCCTACATATCGTTTTCAAGTTGCACGATACATTTTCCAATTTTCTAACGAAAAACGCAGCAATAAGAAACTCGATTGTTTCATAATTAGGAAATTCTCGTGGCTACGCAGCGCAACGCTATCAACTCGTTATCACGTATCGCTAATAATACGATGCGTCTGTGAACGTTAGATTAAAGAGTAATTAATGATCGTTTGTAGTCACGCCGACGTGCATGACGTATGACGCGATTTGCTGGTTTTTATTGAACTCGATGTCTAATGCGCATTTAAAAAAAGAACGGCTTTTGTTTCAAAGGGATGTTTGAAAGGGAAGAACAGTTGAAATTCTTTCCAAGTAAAAAATAATCATAACATGATGTTTGTGTAAGAAAACAATGTTATCGTCTTTTCAAATAAGACGGGAATTAAAGCCAAAATAAATAATCTATGTTTATTACTTTCACTTGCTGTGTGTGTGTACAGATTTTAAGATTCCAAAACTCATATCATTAACCTATTAATAATGAAATTAAATGACTGTTTTAATTAAAGTATTATATTATTACATACATTATTTTCGTAACGCAAGCTACAACAATTTTTACAGAGAGAAAAAATTAATATACTCTAAGAGTCTGAATCTTTTAACGTAGACTCGCTTAATAGTTTTTAACGTAACAAATACAATTTAGAAAATTATTTCCGCTCCATCCTACTAGTTGTCACTCATCGCCGTCTAATGCTTGATCTGGCCGCAAACGGAACTCTTATCTGTATATTGCCACATCATCGCCAAGACGGAATATCTTTGTTGTAACAAGTCAAATAAACCATTCATTTCCAATATCATCGTCCACTTACGAGGATCAGCAAAATCATTTTCAGTGCTAATATTAAACAGTATATTTAATAAATGAAAATCAATATCTAATTTATTCGTATATCACGCCTATATCTTTTAAATCGCAATTTACCGACTACAAAAGTTTATCGCTTGCATTTTCGCACACAGAGCCAAATTTACAACGTAAGATTTAGGACTAAGGATAAAGTGATGACACTCAATGTTTGGCCGGACAAGTCTCAACGCTATTTAATGCAACGTTCACTGCGCAGGTGGCCGACGTGATTGCCACGGATGGCGGAGCGGATTCGCGAGACTTTCTAACGAAAGTGCAAGTGTTTTCTTTCTTTCTCAACCGGCTACCGCGATTGCTGCGTAACCATTCTCGTCTCGCGACTTTCGCGCGTTTTCCGCGGTTTCCCGCCGAGGTCGTCGAACGCTTCCGGCTTGTTTGTCGTCGACTGCGTTTCGATTTTCGCGATTACGCACACTTTTATATATATGTCATTAATTAAGCTTTTCGTATCTCAATATCGCAAAGATAAATAAAATGTCTTCACGCAAGACTTTAAATATTAAAATCTTATTAAAATAAAGCCTATTTTAGAGTAATTATAAAATAAATATGAAATATAACGGGACTAATATGGGAGAGAGAATCAGCGCAATACTTAATAATTAATAACGTTTTCAAAAAACTTTTTGAGTATAAATCTTTAGCATAAAATTAAACCGTATATATAATAAAAATATTCTACACTTTTGAAAATGAGGATTGATCGCAACTCACAAGTCAATACAATAGAGAACGGGAGAACACCTTCATACGGTTTATTTTTGCCGAAATGATACTTTATTATATTTTTCTCAG